AAAAACTAAAGAAGTTGAACGGCTGTTCGGAAATATAGTTTTTGACAGGTATTTGACGTTGATACCTATAAATGTTCATTATTTTTTATTTTTAGTTTTCTCTCTCACCTACAAAAGTAAACGACTTTATGCAGGACGTCGACCAGCCAGTTACACCTAAACGGCGTAGCGTTCTGGAAGAGTTTAAGAATCGACTTTCAGAGGTATTTTTTCTTTTTCCACTTCTAAATACTCTTAAGCTTACTATCACTTAATTAATGGCAGGTAGATTAACAATTTTATCAATGATTTTTAGGCGCTTTTGCAACACTGCATTGCCTCAGTTTGCTTTCACTTATTTCTTACAAACTTACTGGTTATTTTGCTGTCTAAACTACAACAGGAAAACTGCTGTTTTAAACGCTGTTTTAAACGCACCTCTAAATTATGCTCAAAAATTAAAATTTTTTGGTTAAATTTATAAAAAACGACGAGGTTTTCATTGCTTAATAGTTAGTCAAATGACATAATTTAATTGAGATTTACTGTTAACCAGTTTGAAATAAATCGTAGAATGTTTCTGGCTTATAGGGTCTCTTAGTTTTTAGATTGCTTCTAGACTTTTGTATACTTATCTCAGAAACCTAATCGTGTGATTTTAGTCGACTGAAAGTTGGAGAAGTCGGGTGCAAGTTGACCCAGACCTAAAGAAGCTTGGGGCTGCGTCGCGGGTTAGAAGGTATGCATTTGAAGATGCTGTAAAACAAAGTTCTGCAGTTTCATCTTGCGAAATAGATCGCCGAACACCGAGAAGCCCTATTAATTCCAGCGCTAAAGGAATCAGTAGATTTCACACCAGTCCGTCAAGTGTGTCCCCACCTTCTAAAATTGTACACTTGTCAACCAACGAGTCACTTGACATTGATTGTACCCCAAAGTAATGTTTTAACTAAAAACCCCTTCGTGTCTGAAGTATCCAATTTAGAAGCTGAAGTCGCATTTCAAATGTTGCCCTGAATAGAAATAGTTTTTAAAAAAATTAAACATTTTGAGTACTTGATTTTTTATGGCTGATGGTAAATACTGAATGGAAGAGTCAGTTTTGAAAAAACTTTGGCCTAGGAATGTGAAGCTATGCCATAATGCGCCTTCTTCAGCTTGAAACAATTTTTTCTTACTTTTATCGTCATTTTAACATTTTAATAAAGCTTTGAAGAGCTGTGCTTCTTAGTTGTCAGTGGGATGGGGACAAGAAAGCACTTTTAGTTTTCTGATGTAGTTTTTTAGTCAACTTTTGAGTTTTTAATTGTGTTTATGCTTATAAATTCTTAATTGGTAAATTTTCTATTGTATTAAATTTAAAAAAAACTATCAAGGAAATTATTTTTTTAGGTCTGGATTTGAGGATATTACGGAGAAAACATTACAGCCTGAAAAAACTGTTACAAAACCTGGCCATTTATCCCCTGCTACTCTCAGCATTTATGGAGCTGGGACCTCAGAACTTCAGTACGTCACGTTGCTCCGCTTTTTTAGCTGTCTTGCTGCAATCTTAACCCTTGAACTAGTTTAATAATTTAGGAGTTCTTCGTCGTTCAACAAGGAGAATGAAAGCATTTTGAAAACAAATTTAATAGCATCGAAACTTCACCAAGTTTCTGGTACAGATGCTGAAGATATTGCTGACTTGTCTCCTGAGTAAGTTTTTGTACATTGTGATTTCGTTCGTTT